CTGCACCTGCATGGGGCAAAACTCCATCAGGAAAGAACCATCAGAAATGAGTAGGCTACCCAACAGAAAGAAAATAGTTGTCAGTCCTGCCAGCCAGATGGAAAAGTCTCCTAATATATGGGGTGTCAGGGAGAATTATCAGGAGAATCACACCTTGGTAGTGGAGTTTATTGAGTCCTAGAGAAAAATCTTCCTGAATATGCTGTAACAAAACTTGAAAGCAAGCCTGAAAAGGGTCAAACCAATCTCAGGTCACTACCTGCCAGAAAAATGTCCAACAGTCTTTAAAAGAATACGAGAAAATCCAGCACTCACCACAGTAAGCTACATACACTTTAGTTTTCCAGGACTGTTGTGTCAAATTACCATGAACATAGTGTGGTTTAAAAGAAGGAAAATTTATTCTTTCACTGGTCTGAAGGGCAGCATTCTGAAATCAGGGTAGCAGAGTAAGAACCAAAGGGAAGAGGTGCCTCATTGCAGTTGGGCACGAAGAAACCCCCTGACGATTATGGACCCACAGAGGCAGCGTTGGAGGAGAAAGTGCTCGAGTGTATGATTTATTCAACGTAACTTGGTTGGTTGGATGACTTGGGGTCATTTTGAGTGTTAATTTTGGGATTGCATCACGGATAACATTGCAAGGAACATTGGCTGTTGAGGAATACTGGTTAATGTTCCTTCAGCACAGTGGTATCCATTGAGAAGTCTTCAGAGACAACTATTTTAATGAAAAACCTCACAGAAGATAATGCAAAGAGGAATTCACCTAAATGTCTTATGGTAGCCTAGCAGACTCTGCCTAAACCAAGATATAGTATCTGGCAAGCACTGCTAAGAAGTCTGAGAAATATGTCCCAAAAAAAAAAAAAAGCTTACCAATGACCCTTCTGCCATGAGACATTATGCCCAAGCAACTCAGCAAGCTTTAAGTAAGGGAGGGAACTCTGTTTCAAATATGTCAATAATGGTCAGGGTGATCAAGTAGATTTTTGGGAAGATTTTATTTCCTAGACCTGTCATTACCAATGTGAGCACATAAACACATATTTTTAAATTTCTGTCAAAAAAATAAAGATTGCTAAAAGATTTCATCAGTCAAGATAATTTCACAAAGATTTCATCAGTTCAATATTTGGATCATAGTACTGAGGGATGAGGGCTTTCCCAGTGGTAAAGAACCGTCCTGCCAATGCAGGAGACATAAGAGATGCGGGCTTCAGTCCCTGGGCCGGAAAGATCCCCTGGAGGAGGGCATGGCAACCTATCCAGTATTCTTGCCTGGAGAATCCCCATGGACAGACAAGCCTGGTGGGCTACAATCCATGGGCTCGCAAAGAGTCCGAACATGACTGAAGAATGATATTTTGTGACACCTATGTGCAGACTACCATATGCACAAAATGGTACATTATAGAAGATACTTTGCAAGAGAGTGGTCAGAATAGATTTGCTGTGACAAGATCTACCAAAATAAGAAGAAAATAGAAATAGTATTATTTCATGACAAAACTGCATGAAATTGTGTCTTCCAATACTTGGAGAATAAAGCTCCCAGTATGACTTTACTTTATCCTAAAACAGTGAGATGACCATGAAACCTAATTGTAGATGGGGAAGACATGACTTCTGCCGAAGGCACTGCCAAATTAAAAGAAGCAGAGTTTACTGTGTATACTGTGATGCTCAGAAGAGAGTAATAGTAGTAAAAGTAGCGAAAGCGTTAGTTGTTCAGTCGTGTCCAACTCTTTGTGACCCCATGGACTGTAGCCCTCCGTCCATGGAATTCTCCAGGCAAAAATACCGGAGTGGGTTGCCATTTCCTCCTCCAGGGGAATCTTCCCAACCCAGGGATCGAACCCGGGTCTCCCACATTGCAGGCAGATTCTTCACTGTCTGAGCCACCAGGAAAGCCTCAGAAGAGAGTAAGTGTCTTCAGATGAGAAGATAATGAGAAAAGCACACAGTGGGACTTCATTGGTGGCGCAGTGGCTAAGACTCTGCTCTCCCAATGCAGGGGGCCTGGGTTCAGTCCCTGGCCAGGGATCTAGATCCCACCTGCTGCAACTAAAAGACTCTGCCTGCTGCAGCTGAGACCTGCCACAGCCACATAAGTAAATAAAAATAAATATTTCTAAAACAAACAAACCACACTGGAATACAAGCAGAGTCTCATGATCCACGTGGCTTTTGCCACGTGTCTCCAGCATGATGATAGAATGGTCATGTTATAACACCGCTGCCCGCCCACATCTGGGCTGTTGGCTGTGAAATAGAGTTCTCAGTGGACAGCAGGTTTTCACCTAAATGTCAGTCGTGGTGTGACAAAACAGGGCAGCTTTGGGGAGTGTAGTCTCTGTCCTGAGGGTGGTAGTTGTGGAGGTTAGTGATGAGGACATTGTTTCTACATCAGGAGATAGATTATAAGGGTGTGGAGCACAGTGCCATTAGCTGGGTGCCAATGCAAAGTGGCAATACCATAAGAGGTTGGTAACTCGTGATTCACTTGACATCATCAGCTTGTGAGACTGTATTTGGTTTTACTTGGCCAGAGCTGTAACAGCTGTAACATAGGGTACTTAAACAACAAAAATCTATTTGCTCACAGTTCTAGAGGCTGGAAGTCCAAGATCAGTGGCCGGCCAGGCTGGTTCCTCCCGGCGTCTCTCCTTGCTGTGCAGACGGCCACCTTTTCGCTGTATCCTCATGGGGCCTTTTCTCCGTGCACGTGTGCTCATGGTATCTCTTCCTCTTTATACAGGCGTGTCAGGATGAAGCACGATAGGAACAAATCCCCAGGCGGGTTCTGGGACGGGGTCTCAGATGTCAGGAAAGGGGCACGGTGGGCCTGCAGGTGACCCAGGGAGTCAGTCTTCTCAGCACAGCCGACTGCCCATGTGCTGCGGTCCAAAAATGTGCCTTATCTCCGTGAGTGATTAGGGTATCATCTCCGTGAGTGATTAGGGTATCATCTCCGTGAGTGATTAGGGTATCACGTCCCTCATCCCTTCCTCTGCTGCTGCTGTCCCATGTTCGATACTAGACAAAGATGGCCTATATGTGTATTTCATCTAAAAAAAAAAAATATGAAAGAAAAAAAAAACAAACCATGAGTTTAAATCCTGATTCTACCACTTACTAGTTCACTTAAGTAAGTTACTAAATTTCTCTGTATATCAAATCTCTCATTCATGAAATTGAAATAAGATTTTCTGCCCTCAACAGGATTGTCACAAAGGTTGAGTAAGAAAATTCACATAAGCAGCTCGCAAGGGCCCCAGCACATGGCAGGCACATTTTAATTTGCTTTCCTCTTCTGTGTTAGAGCGACACAGGAGAATTGAGGGGAAGAGGTTTGGAGAAGGAAGAATGGAGGAAAAAATTAAAAGTCCCACTTGTACATGAGTGAGTTGGCGTCAGAATACTGAAAGTTACAAAAGATTTGTCAACTTTAGACAACATCCTACATAAGAGGTTGTAAACTAGGGCCTGTGCTAAGCAGTACAATAGAAATTGTATTTTTACCATTTAATTTAATTATCATCACTGCCCTTATATTGTATATCATTACTGCCCTTATATTGTATAGTGACAGCAGTCAATTCCAAATGTATCCATTAAAATCTTTTGGTTAATATGTTAATTAATATTTTAAATTAATTAAGGGCACCACAAAGAGTTTTATAAGCTGTTATGGAATTCCTTGCTTCCCATGGCCCATACTGTAAGTCTGGACCTTCCAGCATGTATGATCCGGCACCTACTTACTCCCGAAGCCTCCGCTTCTCGCACCTTCTATCCAGATTCTTCCCTCTAATGCCAGACTCCCACCATATTGAACTATTTGGGGTTTCTGTTCCCTGGACTCTCACACATGGGGTGCAGTGCCTGGGACACACTTTTCCATCTTTTCAGCTAGCTATTTCCCGCTTATCTTTCATTCCTCTGCAAAGCCTAAGCAAAGTACCCCTTCTAGAAGTTACCCTATTTATCACTGTGCGTTCAGTCCCTAACACAGAACCAGGCACATTAGGGTTTCAGTAAATGCTTGTTAGGTGAGTAAATCAGTACTCAACCTAAATGCAAAGGGTCCTAATGATAGTTTTCCATTACATTATCGTTCTGTAGCCTATAGGTTTTCCAATTCTATTTGCATAGGGAAAAAAGTGGAAGCAGTCTATTCTTCACATTATGTTATGTCCTGCTTTATACACTGCATCACGTCTGAAGTGGGCTGAGGTTTGCTTCCTTCTTGTAACTTCTGTAAGGGGTCTGCAGATGCCTCTGCGGCCGTTCATTTTGAATTTGGATTTTCAGGAGACAAAAGAATCAAATATAGTGACTACTTTAACATAACAGAGAAAGAGGGTTGCCATAGCAATGCCTTGCCTCTTAAATTTGTGTCTCTTGAAAATAAGCTTATCAAGGTGTTTTTAAAGGTAAATTTAGATTGTTGATATACCAGAAAAAAATGGTATTTGTATAGAAACACATCACAAAAAGATACATTGACAGTAAACCCAAATGATCACAATGAAATTATGTAATCTGGTCGTTCCATTGCATTTTTCCTGTTTCATAGAAGTGTTGACCTTCTGGAGATTTTTTTTTTTTTTTTCCTGATGCCTCTGCTTAGCACAGGGAATGGGACCAAAAGGTAGAATGAAACAATTCTAACAGTGAATGATGTGTGAGCTTCTTTTTTTTATATTTGTTTCACAAGTAATTTACTTAAAAAAAAAAATTAACATCTGCTATTTTGAAGCTAATCTTAGTGTATTGAGTGCTCGTAACCATTTCTCAATCCCACAGCCTTTTATCTTGCTGCTCCTGCTGTGTTCCCACCACCCCTGATCCCATTAGCAAACCTTGAGACAGCCTCAGACTCACCAGAGTCCTGCTTTGGTTTCAGCTGCTCTTCTGCAAGAGGAAGTGAGTGCTGGGGGTTTTCTCTGTGGTGCACTTGTGATAAAGCTGCGGTGGCCTTATCTCTCCCTTAGGTAGTGGCTCTTTATGACTACACAGCGAATCGATCAGATGAACTAACCATCCATCGCGGAGACATTATCCGAGTGTTTTTCAAAGATAATGAAGACTGGTGGTATGGCAGCATAGGAGAGGGACAGGAAGGTTATTTTCCAGCTAATCATGTGGCTAGTGAAAGTAAGTTTTATGCTCTCTTCCTGGTTTACTAATATGGTAGAACTGATGGTCCCAGATTTTATCATCTTCTGCTCTTTAACTGGCTGTCTTATTACTTTTGCATATGTTTACCAGTGAGGTATTGCTCTTCATTCTCATGTTGCAAAAAAAAAAAAAAGAGGGGGGCATTAGTACACTCAAAAGCTATGACATTCTGAGATTGGAATACCGGCTTCATGGACTTCCCATCCCAGGAGACCTGCCCATCTCGCTGCCAACCTTCTTCAACCCCTTTTCCCGGCCACCTGCTGCACACACACTGGCGTCACCCTTCCTCCTGCCACTCCTAGGTTGACAGGCACCTAAGAACCTCTAGATGCTCAACTCCCATTCCTTTTAGTTGTATCCCCAGGCTTAACTGGCACCTGCTCAAAAAAAAGGCTGCAATAGATTGTTCCAGTCTCAAGTAAATTAAGCCCTCATTTGTGAAAGGAAAAAGAAATGAGCTGGAGAAGAAATTCTAAATCCGAGTTTCTGGAAGCTGTAGATTTGCTGCCAGGCCTTGAGTGAAGAAAACAGAAGTAACAGACAGCTTGAAGACAAAGGGTAAAGACTATGAAGCAAGGGGAGAGCGTAGCAGCGCTTCTTCAGAAAAACACGTCCCGTCGGTTGTCCACTCGCTGTGGGGCAGGAAAAGCAGAATGCTCAGGGGTCAGGAGAACCGAGCGCTAATCCCGACGTCACAGCTAAGACTGCGATGCCTCCGTTGCTTCCCACCGAACGAGGAAGTCGAACTCCATCATCTCTTAGCTTTCTTCCAGAAACACTAAAATCATTTAGTTCTGTTAATTAAAAATAGAGTAATGGCAGCCGAGAGAACACTCTCCATTTTGATTGTTTACCAAGTCTTTTGTTTCTGCAAAGTAATTATTAAAATAACAGTTGGTTTGGGGCTAGTCTCTGAAACTCCATTTAATCCAAACTATGATTGAACAAAAGCACTATTGATTTCTAACCTCAGTTCTAAATTTTTAAAGGGAAAGAAATAAAGGAAAGGAGGAAGAATTTCTTCCATGAATCCTGGGTGCCGGGGGCTAGGCCCAGATAAAATTATTTCTCTTGGGGCACCGCCTTCCAGGTCTGCGCCCAGCACTTTGCATAGCTCCCTCCCCAAGAGCCTGAATCTCAGTGTAACTCCTTCCCCTCCCTTGTTCATTTGCAGCTTTCAGCAAACTCCTCCCCTCCAAAGTGCTAAGTGTCTTGAAAATTACCCACTTTTCTCTCTCATAAAAAAATTCTCAGTTTCCTTTGTGCCATGGTTTTAATTCTTTTTCTCTGAGCATTAAACGGCTAATGACTCTTAAACTCTATCTGAAATATACTTCTCTATTTAAAGGAGTATGCAGACTGGAGAAAAGTTAAGGCAGTATGGAAGAAATCTGGAGACAGGTTAATTCCCAGGCCTCTCCCCTACACTCAACATTTCTCACTTCCCCGGTCATCTCAGACATCTCAGACATCTCAGACACTGGCTCCCCTCCCCTCCCAGTGACAGGACCAGCAGCTGGAATTCTGCAGAGGTAGCTGCTGTTTTTAAACCAAGAGCTTCCTGCACAGTCTTAGTCACTCTGGAGAATATCTTTCATTTTAATTAGATATTGTAATCAGTTATTTCTTCCAGATACAAGTGGAAACATTTAAAGTATTTTATTACTTGATAGTATAAAATGATTGTGTATAGCCAGGCAGGAAGGGTATTAGATGCTAACTTTAGAACCTAGTTAGTTTGCAGAAATAACCTCTTAGGCTTGTTTGGAAGACTATAGATATTTGATCCACAGGGGATTAAAGATTCAGTAAAACTTGGTTTTATTCCATAAGAACCAAAGTGGGACTTACAAAGCATACTACCATGACCATCCTTGGTGGCTGTGTGCAGAAAGCAGTTCCATGTCTCAGGGAGTAGACGTCCTTCTGATGCTATGATTCCTTATTGTACCCCAGAATAATTGATGGGTTGGTTTTTTTTTTTTTTTTGGCATCAGTCANAATAATTGATGGGTTGGTTTTTTTTTTTTGGCATTAGTCACTGCTTATTGAGAAAGGCTTGCAAAGGCCAGAACAAACAAAAAGTTTTCAGAAAACCTGAGAATGTGACTGAATTCTCAGTTCATCAGGTGTTCTTTTCCTTTCCTTTTATCCTGCTTTTTACCTGAATGCAACAAAAACTCACCTGCCCAGTTTTAACATTCAAGGAAAAATGGCTGTCAGCAGCATATTCCACTCTGAAAATAGTAGGAGAAATTCTGCTTTATCCAAAACCAGTTATACAAAGCAAATGCTCTGAGGGAGCGTGTGTGTGTATGTGTGTGTACATACACAAATAACCTCTTTCAACCATTCAATTGGAAGCCCTGTCCAATAAGAGAATGATATAATAGAAGACATTGGTACCTTGTTATCACAAAGGACATTTCCCTTGTATCTTAAGCCACTGGAAAGGGAAATTAGATCAGCCTCCATTAATCATATCTAACATACTTTCCAGTAAGAGACAAACCCATAATAAAATCAACCCATACACAAAGCCCATTAATGTAGCTCGTAATTTTAGAATTTTGATCAGGTTCAATTTTGGTTCCATTTTGAACTCTTTCTCTCAATTCAGAGTTGCCCGTCATTTAACCAAAACAGATTTCCTTTTTAGCCTTTTAAAGTTCCCACATAACTTTAGACTTAACACCATACATATCAGTGGATTATACAGATTATAACCTTAGATTATAAGAACCTTAGACTCAACACCATGAGTAGATTCTGTGTCATACATAGTCCAGCCCCATGTTTGTTTATTTCATACCATATTTGCAAATTATCCTTTATCCACTTCTTCCTGGCAAAATCCTACCTATTTTTCAGTCCGACAAACCTGCTGCTTTTTCCATTAAGCTTTTACCATCTCCACGTCAGAACTTGGCTTTGTTACTGTCTCTCTTCAGAACAATATCACACTCTGTTGTATGTTGCAGTTCATTGTGAACACATCTGTCTCTGACTAGATTGTAAGCTTCTTGAGAGCAAAGACTGTCCTTGTTGTTCTTCAGATCTCCTCCAGCAGTACTCAGCCAATGATCTTGCATATAGCAGGTTCTCGGTAAATGTGTATTAAGATAAAACGAAATAAGCAGCTGCATGACCGCACACATAGTCAGTAAAAATGAGACTTCCTACATTTCTGAAACCTGCTGATCAAGACTTGCAGATCATAAGTTGTACTCTGGATAACGAAGACTGTGAGGAGCCTTAATGATAAGTGCTGGGTCAGCTTATTGTGGGACCAGGGAGGTTAACAGCAGTGTCATTAGTCGCATGTCTGCTCCTCTCCACTGTTGTTTTGCCCCCATGGAACGGCGCTCCTCAATCTGATGATGTGAATTCTTTGTTCATTATAGCACTCTATCGAGAACTGCCTCCGGAGGTAAAGGAGAGATCCCCTCCGTTAACCCCCAAGGAGAAAGCCAAAGTGGAAAAAGCTTTTCCAGCTCCGCAGAAGGTAAATGTTTTCGAGTATATGCATTCCATGTACTTTGATTTTCACCCTCTCTGGATGAAATGCTACTTCATTTTTCATGCTTATACCCTTCATTGTTTACATTATTATTTCTCCTAATATTGCCACCAACATTATGGAATATATAAGGAAAATCTTTATTATAGCCATTTTCCAGATACGGAAACTGAGGAGGCTCAGAGAGATTAAAGTAGACCCCCAAGTCACAGCCCAAGTGATAGGATGCGAACCCAAAGTGGAACTTGTGACTTTTAGTGTCACACTATTTCCACTCGGTGCATATTTCTGTAACTGTGATACTGACACTGTCAGCAGCCTCACCTGAGGGTCCGCATTTATGCTAAAAAAAAAACACTGGGGCCCACCGAATAAAGATGCTCTATCTTTCTAGAGCATTCCTCTTACTTGTTAGTAATTTTAAATGTTTTCAGGTTAAAATAAATATGGATGTATAACCAGCCAGAGAAATGTCATGATTTTTTAGCCTGTGCAATCAACTCCCTGAGGGTATCAGGCAGAATTCTGATGCTAGTAAAGTTTATAAGCACTGTACCACCGTATATATCACTTATTTAACTTATTATGTGACATTAACTCTTACCTTAGGCTGAGTAACTTTGGTTCTTCTTGACTCCGTAAACTGGCAGGCATGTACATATATATTTATATACCTATATACATATGTATATATATGTACATATATACATATATGTGTGTACATATATATACATATACATATATATAAACAAATACCATGTCATGATAGGCTTTCTGACAGTTGAACCTGTCATGTATTTTTCTGCCATTCAGTCTGTATTTGTTGCGTGCTTACTTCTGTGCTAACAAGATTGAGTAGCCAAGGCGCCTGCTCTTGAGGAGCCTGCAGGCTGATGGGTGAGACCTCTGCAAGCAGGCGATTTCAGCAGACTATGGTGGGAGCCATAATGAAGATGCAACCCTCTAAATAAGCCCTAGGGAGTCCAGGAAGAGTTCCCGGAGGAGGTCAGGCTTGAGCTGAGGCTTATAGGATGAAAAAGGATGTGCTAGGTAGATGATCTTAGAAAAAACATTCTAGCAGAGGGAACAGTTCGGGTAAGGTATGGTATGGGATGGTTGTGTGTAGGGAGCACAGGGCCTGTTGGAAAGAAGGATAAGTGAAATATAGGAGCCAGACCTAGCATGCTCTGCTCAGATGCTTAGACTGTAGCCTTCAGACAAAGGGGATTCCCTGGAGAAGGACTGACATGTACAGATTTACAGGAGAAAAATACCATTCCGGTGGCAGCATGGTGGTTGGATTAGAGGGAGCTGGGAAATTGGTGAAGAAGCCATTGAAAAAAGTACATAAAAACCTGAACTACTAGAGATGCAGGGGAGGTGTCATAAGGTAAATTTGGCAGGATTTTATGATTGATTAGATATGATTAAGTTGGAATCTAGGGTTATGCTAAGACTTATTATACAGCTACATGGATAGTGGTACCACAGAAATAATAAAGGAATAAGGAGAATTTGGGGAGATAGAGAAAGGGAATGGTAGGAGTAGGATGTGATGAGTTGTTATAGATATTTTGATTTGTTAGTGGTGTCTGTAGGGCTCCCAGATAGAAATATTCACTCGGGAGCTAGTAATTCAGGACTGGAATTTGAGAGACGGTAGAGCTTCAGAATAAAATGAGGGCACTAATGTATTCATTGAATTATATGAAGAAAGTTGAAGTTTGTAATAAAGAAGATAGCACAGAGCAAAGAGTTCTGAGAGAAGGCAGCCAAGGACAGAATCCCAGTGAAACACTAACTAGGATTTAAGGGACAGTCAGGTGAGGGGCTGCCCTGGTGGCTCAGCTGGTAAAGAATCCTCCTGCAATGCGGGAGACCTGGGTTTGATCCCTGGGTTGGGAAGATCTCCTGGAGAAGGGAAAGGCTACCCACTCCAGTATTCTGCCCTGGAGAATTTCATGAACTATATAGCCCATGGGGTTGCAAAGAGTTGGACACGACTGAGCGACTTCCACTTCACAGCTGAAGGGAAGAAGATTAAGAAAGAATAATCAAAGGAGAAAGAAGGGGGAAAAAGAAGTGGCCTGGAAGCCAGGGGAAAAGAGAGGTTCAAGGAGGGTACAGTGCAGTCAAGAGTGTCAGAAACAGCCGGTCAGGTAGGGTCTCAGCATGTGGTCACCAAGGACCTGGCCCGTGAGCACTAGGGTCAGGGACTCACACTACTGTGATGAGGGTTGATGGATAGAACAGGCCTCCGCAAGTGAACCTGTGGAAGACATCCCCAGAGCTTCACTCGAAGAAAACAAAAGTCAAGTGGTAGCTAGAGGATGACCTGGTTCCAGGAATGACTTTCTAAATACTGGAATGACATAAAATCATGTCCTAAGTTGTCAAAGCCAAGGGGACAGGTTCACGTTGAAGGCAGTTAAAGAAAGCACACATGGATCTTAGCAGAAGCAGGAGCTTTCCATTGGAAAGACAGGTTGATAGGTTAGTCTTGGCTTAAATCTGTGGTTCTCCACTGAGGGTGATTTTTGCCTCCCAGGACACATCTGGCAACACTTGGAGAAATTTCTGCAAATATCAGCAAGCCGAGAGGTACTACTGATGTCTAGTGGGTGGGGGTCACAGATGTGGCTAAACCTCATAGCATCCCCAGGACAGCCCTCTCCATAAAGGAGTGTTGTCTGGCCATGCTGAGCATAGAGCACTACCCCTCTAAAATAGGTAAACATAAAAGAGGATACAGGTAAGTCGATGGCGTGGAAGCTTGGAAATTGAGAATATCTCCATGTTCTCCAAAACAGGAAGGAGGGTGTGCTTCCAATGTGAGGGTCATAGGAGTGAGACAGGAAGGATAGTGACTGTGAGAATACCTGTAAGGACAGCAAGAGCAGGGCTCACTGGGGACAAAGAGATTCCTGAGTAGTTCTGAGAGCTACTGTTGGAATACCGTAAAAGCCTTGGTGGCATCTTTCCGTGTTGGGTTTTCCCTCAGTAATCCTCAGCATCTAGGCCTGGCAGTGGAGAAGGCAGATTTGGTCTGATGCATAATTGGAGGTTTTGTGGATGTGACAGAACGAGAGGAAAAGAGACTTGATAGCATTGCAAGCAATCACAGGAGCGACCCACCACAGAGGATCAGCCAGATCAGAAAGGACATGGAATGGAGAGAAGACTGGCAGACTTAGCAAGGTTGCAGCAAGCCCCCCACACCCCAGTGGCAGCATAGTGTGAAACAAGAAAGGAATTAACCAACTGAAATGATGACCCGTAAATCCAGAAGTCCTCTTGCTTATTTAATCAGATGCCAGGCAGCTCAAAGTTATGATAAATCCACAGCGTTGTGTATAAGAGCTGGAGTGAAATTGAAGGACATGTCATTAGAATTGAGCTGGTCAAGGAATTAGAGTTATTGGTTGGGCAGGCTGTTCTCTTGGACATTACAAGAGTTGGGAGAAAGAGGGCACAGATGAACCAGGAGCTGAAGTTCTTAATTCTGGTATAAAGCAGATGTTTCAACCTTGGCTTCACATTAAAGTCACCTGAGAAATTAAAAAAAAAAAAAGCCTATGTTCACATTCACAGATTGTTTTAATTGGGCTGGAATAGGGCGTTGGCATGGATAGATTGCAGAAGCTTTCAAGATGATTTTAATGTATAGCCAACATTGAGAACCATTGTGTAAGAGTGACCACACAGTCTGAAGGTAAGAGCTGCAAAGATACATAAAGGATGTTACAGCCAGATGTCAAGATACCCAAGGATGAATGCTCTTAAGGTATAACATACCAACCCAAAATCAGAGCGGAGAGCTAAGAGGTGGCCACTGTTAACTCCAGCCCCCGTGGTTCATGGTTGGCTTATGTGTGAATGAACAGCTTGTGCTGCAGAAAATTGAAACACAAACAATTCTTGGTAAAACTCCAGTTACAGATCCAGCAAGGATTTATGGCAATGGTTGCCTGTAATAGTATGGGGACTACAGTGGATACAGTTGAAAGGGTTGGCTTGGAATTTTCCTATGGGCAGATGTCACATGTGTAATAGTATCCATTGTTTGGAATTCACCGTATTTGAGAGTTTAGGAAGATGCTAATATAAATTTAACCTAAAGACATACATGCAGTGAAAGCATTTATGACATCAGCATGGAGTCATCGTAACAACTCACAAGATTTGTGGTCTGGGTCAGGAACTGGGTGAGATGCTTTGAAAGACACGGCCTTGACTCGTGTTGGCTGGTTTTCCCACCTGTGCCTCAGGCTGAACTTTGACTCTGAATCCACCTTAGTGTGTTCCCGCCCAACAACCTTGGGCTGCTGCTCCCTCAGCCAGAGGACTTAAGGAGCTCCGTCAGCGTCTTGCTGGCTGCCTCTTTCTGATGCCCTTGTGCTTCTATGGAAGGAGACCTCTTCCCTGCCTCTAAGACACCCCTGTTCTCACCGTCTGTGCCGCTCCTCTCCTTAGCGGAGCTTGCCGCACCAGAGTCTCAGACTAGACTGTCATTGATTTTTTAAATTTTGTGTGCCTTGTCTTCTCACAGACTGATCTGCATGCTTGAAATAGACCTTTATATTCATATCCCAAGAGACAGTTCTTCAGATACCCCACTTGACCCTTGAGGTCTGCTTCAGGCTATCTCACTTCTTGTAGATCCAAAGAACTTGTAGATGTGCATGTAAAACATTTAAAAACAAAAATAGGTAGAGGAAGGATGTGTTAGAGGCAAGGAATACATTTAGGGAAAGAAGGAGAAAAATTCTCCTGGAGAAGATGGAGCTCAAATAAGGCTTTAAGGCTTAAGATACAAGGATTTCTTTTGTTGAAGAACATAATTTGATCTACTTTATCTGAATCCACATATTAGACTACCAACCAACCGGTGAAGTTGCTCAGTCATGTCCAACTCTTTGCGACCCCATGAACTGTAGCCTACCAGGCTCCTCCATTCATGGAATTTTCCAGGCAAGAGCACTGGA